CTACAAATAACATTTCAACTTCCCTGTGTGTATATAATGAAAAAAGCAATGTTTCATCACATACAACCACCCTGTATTTACAGTGTATTATCCCATCTTTTTTTTTTGCCATGAAACAAAAAGCATTTAACAAATTGTGAACAGAAATCACCATGGATTTAAATGTGGAGAGACCATTTGGAACCCTCACCCAGCCCTTTATTCAGAGGAAAAAAATACATCTTTTTCTTCTTCACATCAGATAACAGCACACATACTCTGTAGAAACAGACTCTGTATATACTACCAGCTCTCAATAGTCTTTTGTTTTTTCACCTCAGACATTGCCATGAGGCTATAAATCTAAAAAGCATTTTTAAATAATTACAGGAGGATAGTAGCCTGTACCTAAAGAGCTTACAGCTTAGCCTACAATCCTTCTTCAGGATTCTTTACTGCTGTCCAAGGGATTTGCACAGATGCAGCAGTTTGACCAGAAGGCCATTCCTAGAAGTCCACATGACTTCAGAGAGATTAATTCTGCAGTTCCTATGGTGAATGTGGGATTGCACCAGAGCATCCCCAGGCAGAATAAACTCATCTGCTCAGGAAACCATTTCTGTGACCAGGCAACTCCACAGTTTGAGGTACTATTGCAACATCTGAACACACAGAGAACTGAGTGGATAAGGAGGAGATTTTTCTATAATCACTCTGATTCTCTTTCAGGCAAACAGAATTAATTGCAAAGTAAAGCCCCTTCTCTCACTGAGGATTTCAGCAATAAGAAAACAGAGATTTGGAGTACACTTTTGCAGACAGTGCTTTCCTGGGTTGTTAGGCAAGGTGTCTGACTTTGGTCATGTGCACCAGTGAGTTTAGGCACTGGATTTTGAACAGTACATGTAGGTTGGCCCAGATGGGCAGGAGGCTGAAATCAAATCAGCAAAATGAAAAGAGCTAGTGAATCAGATTTTCTCAAATTAACTGCTATTTAAAAATAATAAGCAACTGCAATTGATTCTCGTTAGTGCATCAAGGGAAGATGGAGAAAATCCAGAGCTAGGCAGTCACTTCATTTATATTCTTCTATTGAAATCTTGCACATTTAATTCATATAAGCAGTAAACAGAAGAAAGCTACTCAGCATTTAAGCAGTCAGTCTAATTACAGGCTGCCAAGGAATGTGCAATAGGTGCAGTTGAGCCAAACCCCAGAGCAGAACTCCTCTAAAAAAAAAAAAAAGAAAATCAGACATCTTGAGATTTCAAGTCTGAAGCAAGCCCCCATTTTTGGAAGGGGAAGATAAAAAACCACTAGATCCAATTAGGCAAGAAACTAAGCAGATTTTACATATTTATCTGGATTTGAGTTCTGACAACTTGGCCAGTACACTGCCTAGGCTTATTGAGCTATAAACCTCCATCAGATGCTTGCTGTCCTCACTCCAATAGGCAAAAATATTTTAATTTGAAGACTATATAATTTCAAATAAGGTCTGATGATTTTTTATCAGTAAATGAAAGACCAAGGGAAAGAAAGGTGAAAAGGAAGGCATAATGGAAAAAAAAAATAGCCTTAAATTGAAAAATGAAGGGGTGAGGGAGCAAAAATTTCTAGATGTTTATAGCATCTTCATTATAACCTTCTTTCACATCATCTGAAATGTGAGTTAAAATCCACAGTGATTAGGGTTCAACAAAGCAAAGAAGACATAATATGGCAGGCTTAGGGTGTCTGAGCATCGATGAAGCAACTTCATGGGGAGTAGAGGGGGAGCAACTTCAGGGGAGTGGATCCAAATATACCATTGGGATCTAAATATACAATTAAATAAGAGGGCTGGCAGTGTATTCCAGTTATGCAGCAGTGGAATGGGAGCATCTCCAGAGGGCTCAGCCACTCTGAACCATTTGTTATATGCTCCAAAGAGCAGCAGTGCCATGGAGCTTTCTTTAGCCACAGAGTAAGACACTCTCCTCCTATATGTGACAGCAGCACCAGCCTGCCAGGCTGTCCCCACACTTAGAGCTCCAGAGGAAGGAGAATCAGAGTGGTCTGTAGTGCCCAGGACAGACTGTGCAAAGAGACACCCAACAGTGATCCAAACTTTCCTTCTCCCAGGCACTCAGCAGCAACTGAGCCAAACCCACACACCCTGGGAAGGGGAGCATCAAAAAGCTTTCCTTTCTTCTGAACATGTACAAGAAACAGGAAAGCAAGCAGAGACCATAAAAAAGGAGAAAATACTTAACCATGCCTGAACTGTGCATACAAATGGCAGGATGGAGCCTGGTCTGCTTGGAAAAGCTAATCAATACTGGACTTACTATCACTAATACAGAAAATAAACAATGAAATAGGATTATCCAACAGCTGGGATTGAGTCAGGCTCCTGCAAGCAGACTGTGCAACATAACTATCTTACTATAGAATAAATGCATATCCTAAGGATCACAGGCATTCACTGTAACTTTTCTTAGATTCACCGCCTGATAAAAAGATTAAAATTCCAATGGAAATCAAACTGAAGAAAAGTAAACAAATATAGAGCAATTAATCAATATTATAGCCTTTAAATTTTCATTGCATCTGCCCCAGTAACTTATGTTACTGAAAAGTTAAAGTATGAGAAGTTAATTTTGCCAGAGTGACGACTGGGCAGAACAGACAGCACAATAGAGGAGTTTGATGAATACAGGAAAAGCAAATGCAGTGTGCACAGAACAGTAACAAAAAGGACACTTTGAAAGGATGATCCTTCAGTCATGAACAGTTGTACCCATGTAACAAAAGAAAATCACATTCAGTGTCCTACTCTGCTATATCCCGCTAGTTTAACGTTATATAATCTATACCTAATTCTTAGTTTCCCACAAATACCTGTGAAAATGTATATTTTTTTGTTATTATTAAACAAAATGGATTTTTATGTGCCTAAGCAACTAGGGAAAGAGCCACTTTTAACCCAAAGGTCATATGAACTGCCTCCTCCACATTAATAAAACTATTGATCCAGATTACTGAGGAGAAAAACTCCTAAGTAATAATATAGCTAGCCAGGAGGGGAAAAATCCATACAAATAAATTATAGAGTTGCCATGTTCCTCCAGACTCACTGGGACTTAGTTTTGGTGAGGAAATTCTGTAGTCATGAACTGACAACTTGGTAAGGAAGAGAATCAGCATCAAAACCTGGCTCTAAACCTTTTCCTCCTATTATATTACCCAAAGCAGTACAGATCAATATTTATTTCCTGAAGATCCTTCTCTTCTTTAAAAAACTCCATTAAGCCATTTAAAAAAAAATGTTCTTTGAACATCAGGAACAATTTTAATGCTTAAGGAGCATCCCAGCTATACAAAGTGGACTTTGATCTGAGTGTGAATCCTAAATATTATTGGCCACCGACAGTTCTTTGGCCTGGCATCTAGGTTTCATCATCATTTAAATAAGTAATAATGAGTTTTAATTTCCAAAAAGATCTCTCAGTTTATAAGGCGCACACTTCAGTGTGTACACAAATAATGTATATTTGAAGAACCTTTGGTCTTGCCACAGTGTTAATGAGTGGCTGTAATGTAACAGGGCTCTAAAGCTCATGTAGGATTTTTATGCTACTTAAGTAACACTCATGCATCAACTACTTACCTGTTTTATAAAGCAACCATCATGCATCTGACTTCATGGAAAAGTGTCACAATGGCAGACCAGCCCCACAGAAAAGCTTTCTGTATTTACAGTGGTTTATGAAAGTTCTTCATATACCACAGACCAAAACAAAACTCAGCAAAATGTCCTCTCCAGTAATTTCTGCTTTCAAGTAGACAGCAGAGCCATGGAATTTTTGTTTCATTGGCTGTTGGTTTTTGGGTTTGGTTTGTTTGGTTGTTTTTGCTTGGTTGTTTTTTATTGTGGGGGTATTTTTTAATATATATTTTTTTCTTTTATTCTGACTGCTAGTGCAAAGGAAAGAAGAAATGTTTTATGTCCTTTCATTGCTGAGGCCTTGCATGTGTGATCAATACTTTACAATGAACCAAAAACTGAGAGACTGAAGTTATCCCTTAGGTACCTATTTCAGCTAGACATGGGAAAGGCTTTACAGTCATACTTTCAAAGCAATGAGTCCCTTTTTTTACTGTGATTCCTTGTAAGCCTGTCCAAGCCTAGATGAAGAGATTCCCACCTCCTCAGTTCTGCCAGCAAAGGACTGCTTCCAGAGATTTTCCCCTCCATGATACCCTTGCTTCACACACAGAAGGACTAGTAAATACAATTCATCTTGCCAATTAAATCCAAACACCACAGAAGAACTCAAGCTCTTCTACTTGGATCTACACAGGTGTCTTTGGGGGAGGAGATGGAGGGAAGGGAAGGAGAAAAATATAATCCATTCTAAAACAAACATTTGAAACAATATTTAGCCTGTGGACCAAGCATCCTGCATTCCCCAAGACAGACTGGGGAATTAGGGAATGGAAATAGTTGCTTTGAACAAACCTGTGAGGCAGCAGTCCTTACTTCTGTTCAGAAGACCTTTATATGATTCTCCTCTGAAAAAAAATCCAATTAATTTGCAGAAATTAGCTTAGATATCATTTAAGAAGAGTATTCAGATAATGTTCTATATTTACATAGAAGCCACCAGTTCCAGGTGCTACCAAACGAAGAAACAAAGTTTTTGATACTAATACCAACCTGAGAAGTTTAGATGGGCCAGTTCACTGGAAACTGCAATCCACTGTAGCTTCTAGTATTGATTTTGTGGATTATGAGTCCTCTTGCCTATATTTCAATTCAATCCTAAGCAATTCTGGTGTTCCAGTGCAAGGACCAATAATTCATGTCTCCCCAACTTCTGAGTCTTCTTATCCCCTTGTTACCTACTTGTATTTAAACTTTCCTGTAGTTCACTAATCTTCAGTCTTTTGACTATTCAATAGCCTACTGTAAAATAGGATGACAGTACCAATGTCAGAGATTTAGTTTCCTGCACAAAGGGCCAAGAGTCACAGAGTTTGTACACAAAGACACTTTAATGCAAATCAAATAGTACTCTTTCATTCTAAGGTGCTCCACATTCTCAAACATCCAACACTGAGCTTCCCAGTTTTACCATCCCATTGAGAAATTTACTGTTAGTCTAAACAGCAGAAATTGTAAAAGACAACTCTTTAATGTTTGGGGTTTTTTTATTTAATCAATACAGTATTTCAATACCAACTGTTAAATCATCATGAGCAACAGGAGCATATTCTGCAAATTTGTTGATCACTATATAGTACATCCTCAAAACTCTTATCCAAAACCCATGTATTCCAAAATTAAGGTTCCTCCCTCAACATGCAACATTTGAATAAAAAAAGTCCTGAACTTACTCCAAAAAAATCCACTATGCAGTTATATAAACTCAGTTCTTTTGACAATCCCTCTGGCTTATGAAGACACAGGTTTATATAAAGAAGCTTCAAAAGAAAATGAAAAATTAATATTATTTTGCTGCAATTTCCAAAGGATTCTAACAATTCCATTACCATAGCAGTACATATACATGAAGACACTGTGTCCAGTAGTATAGTATTTCTGAAGGACTATAATTGTTCTCTGCAAAAGGCTGTGACATGTTACACTGTGACTATATCAGAAACTACTGTGCAGCCATTCCATTTTATTTAAGCCTTCTTAATTAGGAAAGTATCTCTGTTGAAATTATATTTATTAATAAAAATAAATCTTACTTTAGATTACTAAAAAGTGCACATTCTGTAAGTGCAGGCTCCATTTCACCATTTCTACTCCTTGTTGGTTCTACATTTCAGTTCCAATTCCCAGTTTTTCATAATATGCTGTAAGATTTGGACTGCAGAAACAAAGGCTATATTTGCCTTTAATCAAAACACTGTTTTTAAAGATGTTTTCGTATGACCAACACATTTCAGGCAATCTCAAGTATTTCAAAACATTCTTTACCATCCTACAGAATCAAAACCTCCACCACTAAGTTGGGGCCTTTAAAAAATAATCTGAAAACAGTATGCACAATATTTAAAGAGAGCAGAGCAGCTATATAGTTGAAAATGGCAATGCAGACATTTTAAACATTAAAACAATCTTTCTACTTTCTGCATGAGGCCTCTGGACACAAAGAAGTTGTGCATTTTGCATGGTTTTTAAGCCTCATATTTGTAAGTGGAGAGGCAAATTTTCAGAAGGATTTCTTATTTAGCTAACAAAAAATAAATCACATTGCAAATGCAGTGCTGTTGCTGCCTTGATTCTCTCACATCATGGTAAGTACCAAACTTCTTGTCCTTGCTTACAAGGTTCATGTTTATACTCAGTGTCATTGTTGATGACTGATATATGTTGGCTGGTTTTAAAGTAAGTAACTTGGGAAGATCAATAAAAAAGTACAGAACTCTGATTTGTTGTGGACATACTGTTTCAGTTTACAGAGGAATGTGTCATCTTTGCTCACAGCCAGTGAAAAATACTTTGACTCAACAGAAAGTGTGGAATTATGTGATATTGCGATGAGGAGTTTCACAATTCCTACAAAAATTTAAATCATCATGCCCAAACCCAGCAGGAGGGACACAACTTGAGCAAATCTTCCATCCACGCTCTCAGTCGAAATTCACAGATAAATCCTGCATCCATCTCTGGAGAACATCTTGAGGAACAAATGAAGATGAAGAGAGAGCAGGGAAAAACTAAGGTGCAACGCATGGTGTGCAGTTTGTCTGTGCACTGTGTGCAGTGTAGGAGAGAGGATGTCTCCCTGCAGCTGCGTGCAGGACAGTCGAAGGACTTCACATCGGACTATTACTATAATAATACTTTTGGCAAAAGCAGGAACACACAGAGATTTTACAAAATACTGTCTAGATACTGGAGCACACTGACTAAAAGAAATCATTTGAGTACAAGCTTAATAAGGTAGGGTAAAAAAAAATCTACCACCTTACAGCTAACAACACTTTGAAAATGAGTCTGCTGTGTGTGATTTCACTGATGTCTGAGGGAGACAAAGCTCATTATGTTCATGTTTTTCATACTTTCAGTCAAACAGATTGCTGAATAATCATGTTTTCTTTATTTTAATGGGTGAAGAAGCTATTATACAGAAGGTGTTTCCATATGTTGAAGTTAATAAAGGCAATTCTTAATAATAAGAGTAGGTTGTCTCCACTCAGCTATCTAATAAAAAACCCTCCTGTTTAGAGGAAAATGCAGATCCGGTGCCCAGAAGACTCCTAGGGCTGCACATTTCACTGGCTACTGGAAAGTACTGTAGGTAGATGAATTCCAGGTCTTCTCCAACTGAGTGTGAATCAATGACATTCGCTAAAATGTTCAGGGCACTAGGAGCAAGCACTTCATGTCATCAACCTCTCTTCGTATCCACCCTTTTCTTGCTGGTGAAGGACAGTGGACAAAACCTGGATTCATCATTATGGAAATCATCAGCAAGTCCCTTCAAGAGGTCAGAGTGCTTTCTTCTTTAAAGAAGCATCTAGGTCACTGTCTTAGGAGCTCAGAATTCTATGTGGGGAGTATGGCTAGTTTTAGGCCGAGATCACAGATGCTCTTTCAGACTGAAACAATAAAATGCACAGGGGGAAATCATTTTGGAGGGATCACCCAGAAGTATGAGATGTTACTTAGATCCCTGTCTTTCTAACCACAACTGGATGAAAACCTCACATCTGTGCCATGCTGTTAGAGCTACCTAGTAAAGGGAGACAAAAAAAGGTCTTGAAGCTCATCTCAGACATGTTCAGTGTCTGACTATATCTTTAAAAGCCATATGGAATCCAAACCTATTGAAGGACAACTTGCCTCAGATGATTGATTTATTCCAACTAGGTTAACACAGCAGTGCTCCACACTGGATTTCTCTGGATTTCAAAGTTGGGCAGAGATTGTTCACCTGTAAGTACCTGAGTAGAAAAAAAGACCTGCCTCTGTTGCCATTCCCACCTTCAGGGAGACTGACAGTTTCCTACAAGTAGTTTCAAAAGGCACATCATCTCTCCAGGGTAAGTATCCATCTGTAGCCTTACATTTATGAATTCAAAGCATTCTGCAAGACTTCTTTATCCAGACATATAAAAATGTAGAAATTATTTTGTGGAGAGACATTACTAATAGGAAATAATCTGTTTCTTCATGTATTCTGGGAATGGTGTTATGCTGGTTTTCACTGTTCAGAATAGGCTTCAAGAGAGGTAAAAAATACCCAAAGAAACAGAAAGATGCTTTCAAATACAGACAATGAGACCAGCTCCTACACATGCAACTAGTCCAGCTGGATATTTACTATCACACACAATTCTCTCCAGGATTTTAAACAGAGCTAATATGACAAACATTTTCAAAATTGGACACTAATTATGGGCATTTCCTAATTCAGTCTAAGTTTCAGAACTGCTGAACAATACCTTGTCCTTGTGGACATTCAGTATAGAAAATCAAATCCAAGGTGATACTCAAGCCAATACTGAAAAATATGAACACTCCAAGTTTGCAGGTCTGTTTGAAAATGCAACACCTCAAGGCTAAATCCCATTTTAATGACACTGCAATAGTTTTGAAAGCTGCATATTTTTGTTGAGCCACTAGAAGGCATAGACAAATGTGATGGGTGGACTCTGCATCAATTCAGTGGGACCAGTGCAAACAGTCCCTCCCTGACCAGCCAACACTGTTGTCTGGGAACAGAGGGAATCCGGGATAGGCCTGTGCAATGAACCAGAAGTAGCCCTTGCAAAGATCAGGGAAAACAAGGGCTGCTGTTGGAACCTGCCCAGAACACAGAACCCGGCCACAATATGCCCACAAAACATTTCTGTCTCACAGATGTGGGAAGTCCCGTTATGTCCGCATTCACAATTAAACATGATTTTGACATTATTATGGTGCTGATGGTGTTATATCTTCAGTGTATGATGGATCCTGGCTCTGTTCGGGCCTGCCTATTGTTCATGAGAGACTTTGTCTTTGCAATGATCGGAGAACAAGGTGTTCTGGAAGCTCTTTTCAGCTGTGACCTGGTGAACTTCTTACGGATTTTTCTGTAAGGAGGGAAGGAGGAAAGGAGGGAAAGAGAGAGACAACAGAAGAGATAAATCTCAGTCTCTAACAGAACACCACACAAGAGCCAATAACAAACATAACAAATACTCTTACCAGAGCAGGAAGGCTAGTTCATGGAAAAGAGACTTGCAGTCAACAAGAGTCAGCCCTTCAGCCCTGTCCATCAATTGATGATTCAGAGTTGTCTGATAATGGTTCATCAAAAAGTGAATTTGTGTTAGATAATACTTAAATAATAATATTTAATCACATGAAATCTTGGGCCAGAAGACCCAGGTAGTGAATCCTCACATGTGATATCAATACTGAAATGAAGCATCACAGAAGAAAGGACTGTGTTAGCACCCAACGAATATGCTACCTCTGTGAAAGTGGAAGCAATTGTTGTTACTTACACTGTGTCTCTTCTGCAGATAACACATGACCCAGAGCTCAGGGCATTTTTACTGGGGCCATTCAGGTGCAGTAAATTCATTTTCATTTTTGACTTTCAGCTGATAAATGAAACAATAATATTAACTCCAGATGGCCATATTGTTTGTATTGTAATCCTAAATATCCAAGGATAGTTAATTTTGAAGCATAAATACTTGCTATGCTTCAACTGCTCTGTCTCTTTACTATTATAAATCAATAACCACAATGCTGAGGGTACCCAGGGAATGGTATCAGAAAACACAGAAAAGGTAGAGGCAGAGTATGCCAAGAACCATATTCATTAGCAGAAACCTGAACATTAGATGCTGCTGGAAAATGACCTATTTTCTGAATTTACTCAAGAATCCCAGCCTTCTTTTAGGAAGTTTTATAAATTATAGGGATTTTGAGCTTATGGAAATGAATTAAAGCAAATTGGGGCCTCTAATACTTAATGAGACCAGACTTTCTAATTCAGACTTTTTGACTTGAAAATGTGACCTACAAACTGCAGGGTGATGAGGTGCCTACCTGCATCAAGGTTCTGAGATGGTAACTCAAGGAGTGGTTTTTCCCTTTCATCTAAGGGGGCTGTTACCTCTGAAACTGAAAAATGGTGGCACATGACGTTGAACATACATGATCAGCTGTAAATAAATTCTATTGAATTCTAAAATATCAACTTGCATATTAAATTTCAAACACTAGTTTGTTACTAGTTAGTTACAGATTGAGTGCTCCCCAGGGATGTAAACTTCCACGTTAACTAACTGGGCCACAGAAGAGTACATAAGGGAAAAAAAAAAACCAAACATGCAAAAAGTAGAAGAATATACTCTACTATTAGAAATTAAAGGGAGCCTGAAAAATACATTTATTTTGGTTAATATATTTTAAAGGTTCAGAGATATATTCCCTTTTGAAAGAAGGATGTCTTCATGTCATGGAATACCAAATTAGGGTTTAGCACCATTCAGAAATAAGCACAACAAAAGAAAAGGAATCACCAGAACGTTTGGTTTCAGCTTTTCACACAATCCCACTAAGAAAAATAAAAACTTACTGCTTGAGTATTCACTTTATATGGCCATCTTATATTAGGCCAAAAAAAAAATATTAAATTTATTCAAAGAGATTGCATACCTTCCAGAATGGTAAAACCATAGAAATGTAATCTCAGACTGGCAGAAATATGTGTATCTTAAATACTGGGACAGTCAGGCTTTATAAATTCATGTGAATAGACAATAGCTATTACCCACACCAATGAGGATCATGTCCACAGAACCTTACAGAACTGGATCCTTTTTGTTGTCTTTGTTTGCAAAACATTCTATTTAGTTACAGGAGGAACGTGGTCATTAATCATTTGACAAGCCCAAGGTTCAAATAATATCAAATCATTGTTTACACTTCTGAATTTTTAATAAGGCAACTTTATAAACTGCCTAGAGGTTCCTGCTTATGAAAGCAATTTTCAGCTGACACCACATTTAAGGACAGTAAAAGGATTTGAGATTATAATTTGTCATTATTTTGTATGGATGGTAAAGTAAAAGATAGTTATTCCCATTAAACATTGGTTCAAAACCAAGACAAAGACAGGCAGAACAAAAAGGTCATCACATTATTATATCAAGCAAGCCACAGAGTCCACTCCTCACTGAGTATAAACGAAACTAGCTCTATATACTCTGTCAGAAAAAAAATAACCTGGTAGGCACTCTTAAAAGGCAATCCAGCACTTCTGCTTAAAGAGGATTGTGAAAATGCTTCCAGAAATTAGCTTTCTGGGATACAGCCTTTCAGAATTAAAACTGGAAGAATGGAAATTTCCACTGACTACATTACATGTTATATTTAAACAATCATTTCTCTAAAAGCCCAAACTGTTCTTTTTACTGCAAAAATTATAGAAGGTGGAGGGACTGGCTTCTTTACACTGAAGGCTTTAGCATCTAAATACAGTCTAGCTTTTTGAGAGGCATTCATCAGGTTTCATAATTCTTCAAAGCCTTTTTAACACTTAAAACATGCAGGTTGCAATAATAGCTGACAAAAGACAGGATATTCAAAGATAAGATTGTTGTCACCCTTTCACTCATACCACTTTGCCCTTCCCAAAGATACACTGAACTAAGGGCAGAGTCAATTTTAATGCTCAATTTCCTGTCTGTCTTTCAGTTAATACCAGCCATATGTTTTAATTACATAAAGCTTTTATCTGGCAATGGCAATAAATGGCTTTAATATCTGTATCGTTGGTAACATCCTTTGCAGTTGTTAGGACAGATTAATTGCCATTTTCCCTGTTTTTTTTTCCTTTGACTTTTGTACTCCTTCTTGGAGCATGATGCATTACAGGCTTGAAGTGAAAATTCAAAAGTATTTTAAAGCCTCTGCTTTGAATTTCCAGCCTTCTTAAGACCAAGATATGAGAATGAACTAAATATTTAATAGAGCATCTGTATATAAAGCCCACTGTGCTCATTTTTAAGTTAAATGTGATGCACTGGTGTAATGTAGGAATAATACACATTCTTTATGTCTGCATGACTCTTCAATTAGTAAGTGCAGATAAAGGTACACAAGACCCTTGGCACATAGTCAGGGAAATATGGAAACGTACATAAGTCTTACTAAAGGTCCAGATGAAGACCTAATGTCTCTGTTCAAGTTTCATACACAGACTGGAACCTCGGGTAGAAATAATAGGCTGTACAGGGCATTTAGGTCATGCTTAAATTTAATCAGGCGAATCATTATAATTAACCAACCTTTTCTCAGGATCCAAGAGTATTCCATGTAACTCACCATCTGCTGAAGTTAAGCACAATCCTATATAATCTATTCTGTCCAGATTTCTCAGGAATAGGATAACTGGGAGCGAAATTTCACATATGCAAAAGCTGACTCAAAGTTCCCTTCTCTAATTCTGCCATACACTAAAACAGCATAAATTTTTAAACTTGAATAGAATAAAGAGAGGCCTCCAACTGGTGTTATTCAAGAATGTGTTTCCAAGCCTTTTCTAGTAGGACTGGAAAGGCATTGCCTGCTTTAAGTTTGTTGATATAGTGTTACTGTGCTATATATAAACTGCTGTGCATCCATGTTGCCTCCTCTGCATTGGACTCGGAGTTGTGATGACTACACTTACTGTGGTCTTATCAGCTGTACCAACAGTACTTAAGAAGATATATTAAAGAAATACAAGTTATGCAAAAAGATTTTGCAGTGAAAGAAATTAATTGCATGCAAAATCCTGCTGATATTTCGGCAGATGACAAACCTTGTTTTGAAAGAAACCTTTTCCTAGGAAGAGGAATCGCCTTCAACATACATGCACTTGCGAGATGCCCATAACTCTTCCTAAATACCAAGGTCCAGAATTGCTTTTGGTGCTCTGTTTCCACTAAAAAAATGCTAATGATCTAATACAAACCTGGCTGCAGAGTTTGAAGCTCAAGGACACAGTTTTGTTTTCCTCACTCTCCCTAAATTATAGTTTGATATTTTTGCCTGAGCCTTTCTTAGACTGATACTATTTGAACATCCTCATATGTAAGAGCTGGTGCTGTGAAAATGCATTGTTATCCAATTGCTGGTAGCACAAGGAACACTCCCAGGTCAGCAGCAGGCATAAGAAAGCTGATTTCCTGCACAATCATTGAAATTCCTATAATCTCTCCATTGGGGTGAAGCATTCTGCTATGACTTTCCAAGTGTAAACAGCAACATAAATGTGCTAGATGCATAAATACTGCCAGCACTGGCAGAATTTTGTGTTCTGGCACAAGTTATGTGTGAAACTTGCAATCAATCTAACCACAGAGCCATTCAGAAAGAAAACAAGGCTAAAAAATAAGAAAAAAATGTATTCTAGAGAAATGTTTGTTAAGCTGCCACAGCTCCAGGGCAATAAATTTTGTGCAATGTAAATTTTCAGTGCAGATCAAGGCCAGTTAGAAAAAACAACAATTTAAAGTATAACCATAATTCCTTGGTGTTTATTAGATTAAATAATCACTTATTTCTCTGAGGGCTTCTTTTATCCAGAGCTATATTTTAATGGTTCAGTGGATTAAATTACTGGAGGGGGTACTATCTTAGAAAGCTGGTAGGCTTTTTATTAATTTCAACAGGTTTCAAACAGAGTGAAAGGCCAAAATGTGTGCAGTGCTGCTTGCTGAAAGAGAATTTAAATGGGATGAAGCTGTAGGCACAGATCCTTTGAAAGCTGATATGTTACTGACTGAAGGACTCACAGCACTTCCCGCATTTCTACCTGTGTGCAAATGAGAAGTATTTTATTTAACTATTTGGCTTTCTGATTTAGACTTTTTTTCCCCCCTCATACTTCTCAGGCTTAAGCTTTCCCATATTGCATTAAAATTTTAATCTAACCTCAACATGACAGAAACTAGTTAAAAATAGTTTTGGAAGGCAGGAGTGGGTTGACACTGATACACCTTTTAAAAATACAGGCCTTAGGAAATGTTAATTTATAAAAACAAAATGGAAGACTTTAATAAGCATGGGATTATTGGAAAGCTGTTTC